ACTTATTAAAATAATATATTAGTAACTTTTTGCGTGTTAGTGGTTATATATAGACACAAAAAGTATTACGTACTAAGAAAACATATTATTATTTTATTTATTTCATGCTAATTAAATATTAGAAACAAATATTTAAAAAATAATATTTAAGAAATACTTGCTTTTGACCTGAAATATTTAGCATACATATAAATATTTCCTAAATATGTATGTAATATTTTGTGCTATCTGGGATGTTTCTAATTTTGTTGTTAAACATGTGTTTGATATTTAGGAAATCGGTTGAGCTGCAAAGCCATTGCGGAATCGAGCCTTTAAAAACGAACTTTTTATATTATGCTATTTCTAGTGTGAATGAAATATTTTCATAATGCAAAAATTCAAAATAAATGCGGATCTTTTAAAATCGCTCCTAGTCTTTGGCTTCCATTTATAGATTCGGTTGAGCTGCTGAGGTCTAGTTGTAACTGCGCTATAAAGCCTTAAAATGCACACGTTGCTATGTAAAACACTATGAACTTGCAAGAAAAGTAAGCAAAAAAACCGGTAATTTTTGAGTTGTGAGCGCGCCGCTGGAAGTTTTGCATCATTTTTTATTTATTCAAATTATGTCTAATTTGGTTAGCAACAAATTGTCCTGAAGCGTTTTTTAGAAATTTATCAGATAAACGTTTTTTCATGTTTGGACATATCTTTACAAAGAAAACATGCTGCCTCTGGTGCATGACCATTCTGTACATGCTAGAATCCACGTATCTTATGCGAAAAAATATTTTAAATGTTATTGCCTAATTATTCACATTAAACAACTGAAAGTAATTGTTTGACGAATTATTTTCCGCTATTTCAATGACTCATTACATTAAATATCAGGTAAATATATCTATTGCAACTGCTTGAAACTGAGTAAATCAATAAGCAACGTTTATTAAAAATAATTTCTCTCAGTAATAGCAACTTTTTCCCATAGAATAAGTATGTCAGGAATTCCATTGTAAAGGAAATTTGCTAGGCGATCCAATTATCTAACCGATTTCGGAAATTTTTACTAATATCGAGCACACACTAAAATTAAATGCATTAAATGTAAACAGAATCCTCCGAAAGGCGGTTTTATAGGTATTCAGTCACCTAATATTTTCTGTTACATTTTAGGACAAAATCTGTGAATTTATTGGTGAATGAACTTTCAGCTTCTATTAATTTATATCCATTCGACTCATGTTGATAAAAGGTTTCGCTAACAAAGAGACCATTTGTTTGTTGTTTTCCTGCGGGATTCCAATTTTTTCCATTCAAGAATATTGGTTTCTTTGTCAATTGGTTACACATTTTATTTGTAAACTCTGCTTTGTATAATTTTACAGTAGGGTTTCGTGTGATCTACTTTAATTAAATTTGACGAAGTAAATATTTCGTATTTGTTCTAGAAAGGATCGCTCTAGGGGTAAATGACAAATTCATTATAGAATAGAAAAAATACACATTTATTTGAATATTGCTTAAGTTGGCAACTCATTGTGTGCCTTTTTTAATTACTTATAACTGAAATTCATTATTTACAATGAAGCTTGTTGAATAAATGGCAATTATCTCATTTGGTGTTGCATTCCGCTTTCAGTTCTTTTAGTTGGTGTTTGGCTTCTGCAATTGAGGGCTTCAAGCCTGCGTAAACCATCAGGTCTTTGAGCAACATCTCAGTCTCCTCTTTGAGCGCTCGAAGGGTGTTGACTTCTTTCTCAATTTCAAGTAAATTGTATTCGGGATTGTTTAGAAACGAGTTCTTTTTCTGAAAATGCCCTAATGAGTTCAACTAGTTTACCCTGTTCCGGAAAAATTCATACTTGCAGCTTATGAAGTTCTATCTCATATTTTTTTAACTTTTCTTGAAACCCCAGGATATTCTGTGGATAGTCTCGTACTACCTCTGGGCACGTTCTGGCAGCCTCTAATTGACTAACAAGAAAAATTATGTTGGGGTGTTTGGACAAGCTGGGGCCTCTTACCTTTTCAGTTCTGCTGTGGTTTGAGTAACTGCTTCATTTAAGACGTTGTAATATTTGACGCAAGTCTTTACTTTCCTCAAATACGTCTCTTGTTGTCTCATTATTATCGGATCAGCCGACTCTTCCTCAATAGATGTTAGCAAGCTTTCCAAGGGCTCGGTAGCGACTGGAGACATGCAATCCTCGAGCATCTTCAAGTTGTCGAATATTTTCTCCAACGCGGCATCTAAACGATCACCAAACTTGAGTATATACTTAAACGACTTAGACTTTCATACTTTCGCTCTCATATAACTGGCATCTTTCTTTAAGTACCCTAACAAGCTCTTCCAACTGGGCCGTGTTCATATTTTCGGGCCTTACCCCCAATAGTTGATCGTCCGCATCACACATTTTTTCAGTTAGACAAACCACTCTCTGCTTTAACTACTAAAATATGTATAATGTGGAATGTGGATGTCGTAGTTTCAGTGAAGAAAAATTGCATGTATCATCCATAAATTTGCCGAAAAAACACTTACAAACTTTTGAAGATCAAGTTCAAGCGACCCTGTATTTACCAACGAAAATGAGATTGCCTAGTGCTATTTACTGTCGAATAATGTTTTAAAAACGACACTCCATAAGAAAAGCACAAAATTCTCTCTAGGATACACTCTGATAATGTTTTGCAAAACTATTTTAAACCACAAAATATCCCCCATGTATAGGGGTATGTTCTGTGTTTTAAACTTCCTGATTGATTGTGGTTATGTTGTATACAAACGTATTCTTCTTGTTTCGACCGTTCTTGCATAGAAGGTTGTCTGACTTCTTCGGAAAATGTGATTTGCTTACGAACAATTTTCGTTGATTTTGCAATTTTCCAATAGAAAAGCAGGCCACGCCTTCTAGTTATGCCGAAGCTGCACGAGCAAATTGCCGGTGAAATTCCGTTTTGGAGGCCTAACATTATTAAAATTATTAGCCATCCAAATCGGTTTACGAATAATTAATCAGATTATTTATTAACAAATTAATGAGATGAAAGCAAAATATAAATTTGGCAAATGAGCAAAATTTTGCAAACTGCCACGTCGTGACAGGCGTGCGCTTAAAGTGACATATATTTGTGAACGTCATATGACGTCCGTTGCTTTCTTGGAATGGTAAAGTGGTGAAATTAAATCAGCGAAAAGTGTTGGAAAAACCTATTTTCTCAAAAAACACCATTAGGAAAAGTTGTCAGTAACAGATTATCTGCAAGGTAAGTATATTTTCAACTTTAAAAGCAATTAAGCCATAAACTGATGGAGCCCTTTGCGCTTTCCTGCGAAAAGACGCATTTTTTATGTACCTGATATAATAAAGGACACTAACTAAATAAGAAAGTGTTAACACTGCCTACTGCAACACTAACATGTATGTTTTTCTTGCTGAATGTTGTCTGACATTATTCCGGGTGTCGCAATAAGGATAAGCGGCTGTACCTTGAAAAGCATTTGCTGTAGTTTTCGGAAAAAAATTGATAAAAATTGCTGGAAATAATTTTCAAATTTATCAGATGACCGCTAAATGGCGTATTGCAAAGGGTATTTTAAAAAGTCGATTTTATACAGAAAGTGTCCCGATAAGTCAAACATCTAGTCAGTTTAGTCAAAAGATCATAAAAACTGTACTACTTTCCTTATGAACTTTTTTTCCTAACTTGTCAAACCGCTTAATGCAAAGAAACCTCTAACGCCGACACGGCTTTACCAATTTCAAAGTTTTTACTATCAATGGAAAGAGCATTAAAAACTCTACGATATGAGATATAAAAACAATTTTAATAATTTTTTAAAGATCCGCTGTTGAAAAAAAATTATTTGTTTTAATTTTGACCGCATCTAAAAAATTAAACAAAAACCGCAACTAAAAATTTTACAGTTTGGTTCATTTTTTCCTGTGCTTACGAACGCGTGTAAATTAACCTGATGCATTTGAAATTTTTGTGAAAAATTAAAACAAATAGGTTTTTTGAACTGCGGATCTTTTGAAAATACTTAAAGAATTTTTATTGTTCTTTCAATTGATAACAAAAACTTTGAAATCGGTAAAGCCGTGTCGGAGTCAGCGGTTTCATGCATTAAGCGGTTTGACTCTCCCCCACTCTTTATTTGACAAGTTAGGAAAAAAGTTCATAAGGAAAGTAGTACGGTTTTTTATCATGTTTTGAATAAACTGACTACATGTTTGATTGATCGGTATAAAATCGACTTTTTAAAATACCGTTTGCAATTACGCCATCTAGCGGTCATCTGAGAAATTTGAAAATAATTTCCAGCAAATTATTTGCTTCAAGTTTGTTATAAATTTTTTTTTGTGAACGCTCTACAACAAATAGTTTCCAAGATACAGCCGCTTGCCATCGTTATTGCGACACCCGGTTATACATGTTCCATTGAGGCTTTCTAACTGCAAACTTAACATCAAAGGGCTTTCGGAGGGCTTGGTTGGTTGGTTGGTTCTGAACGCAACGATCAAACATCCGTAACATCCTGTTAAGACGATTATTCTTCCAAAACTTGCAGTTCTTTCTCATAATGCTCACGATTAACCAAACACTATCTCCTTTGAACAATCTATTCAACAGTAGCAATGAATTTTTCGATTGTCTGGAATAATTCTGGCCTCGTGCGGTTGCACCACCTTAAAGGGGAATATATTCTCTTCTTTGGTTGGAATGTAGGCAAAGGCACATTCCCTCCAAGTGGGCGTGGGGAACTCGTAGGCAAAAGTAGTTGCAAAGAATTCTCGCCCAGTGTCAATGTTGACGTTCTTCAGCTGCCTACAATCACTGGCTAAAAGCTGTCGCCTAAAAAAATCCTTCCTACCTATAGAACTCCTCTTGTTTCTCTGCAGCCACTCTCTTGATGTGTTTCGCATCTTTCCAAGTCATCATTCTGGCCTTTGCAATCGTATAAGGCATAGTAGTTGGCAAGAGGTGTTTGTAGCAAACATCGGTATGCCTCCACAGGCTTTTGCTCACTCCGTATGACTTCACTTTATCCTCGTAGCTCCAAGAGACTCCGCACCGCATTTCGATCCATAGCTTGAAAATTGGTAGCTTGTAGACCTGGGGAAGCTTCGCCAGAGGGAAGCCATCCTCAGCCATACCTGCAATTGTGGATAGTTCTGACTGAGTCTACCGGTTGAATGGAATTACCTTCCAAGATCCGCTTTACGAGTTGCATCAAGGTTTTTCTGCACGTGGGCAAGCGCCGGAAAATTGCAAATCTCTTGCTGAGGAAGGATTCTGGTTGGCTGGCGGTTTGGGGTATAGTAATAGGCAGGATCTGTCTCGGAGGATCCACATGGCAACTTGCGCTTTCGGACACAGTGCTGTCTGAGTCTTCAGAAGATGAAGACGATACTTGCTTGGATTCCACTGCTTCTAGTGTATCATCTAGGGGGTTTTCAACATCAGTTGAGCACTGAGTTGGATCCTCGATTTCATGACTTTCTGCACAATTCAGTTCGTCAGATTCACTGCACGGTGGTGCTTCATCAACTGGGATGGGATTTTTTAATGAATCAGGCGTCTAGAGAAATTCAGGACTGATGAGTTTTACAGTAAAGTTGCCAGTTCTCACTTAAATAAATAAGTATTGAAAGTGATTCGGTTTTCGAGCTTCGCAAGCAGAAGTCGCTTGAATTTTCAGATGCGTCCAGATGCATTCGAATGAGATCTGATGAGATTCGAATGCATCATATGAGATGTTGGGGTTGTTTTACGTATTTCGTGGATTGGTTTTACAAATTATCCAGATTTATTTAAATTTATTTCAGACTTCAGAAAAAATATAGCTAAAATATAAAAAAAAGAAGCTAAGAAACAGGAAGAAAAGTTAATAAAGCACGCAACACAATTCATTGAGAGAAGTCTAAAGGTAATGCCAATTAATAAATCGCGAATCATAGAGGAACCGAAAAGAGTACAATCATTATTTATGCGTCCTAGTACGCCATATGCCCATATTTTTAAGTATTTTAGTAAATTAAGGAAAAAATGTCCAGTTTCACACAATGACCTCAAAAACTCACCCTAAGAGTATTATTCATTGCTTACCGTGGCATCCATTTGTCGAATTTCGTCCAACACCTTTTCCATCTCCTGCACGCCATGCTCTGATTGCTTGATCATAAACATGTTAGATGGGAACTGTTTAAGACATGTCAATTAATACGCTTATGAAAACGACAATGCCCTCCTACGCACATTTTCAAACCCTTTGGCAAAATTGATGTCTATGCTTCGCAGTGGCGATCGCCGATTAGTTTGCACGTCGAGTTCAGTCTCATACACAGACTTTTCGTTCTCGGACTGCTGCATAAACTGCTCAAATTCCTCCAAGCAGCCTTTATGAGCTCGCTCAAATTTAGCCAAAATATGTTCGCAAGCGCAAGGTCGCACGGGAACCGATCCAGACACTATATAGATATTTTCATCGGGCATTCCTTTTACACCTGAAATTTAAACCATCAGACCTGCCACAAGCATTCGATACGACAATACCAACCTGCTATTCCATACTTTAAGCGGCCTTTAATCGGTTTGGCCCGTTGCTTTTCAAAGGCTGCTAATTCTTGGCTTTCCCGAATGGCTTTCGCACATTCGCAGTCCACTGGCGCTCTCATTCCAGCAATTATGTAGACCGGACCTTTAAATGTGGGACAATGGAGTTAGGGGTATTTTACCAAATAAAGTCTGTTGGGACCTTTCGGGGTATTCGTAACTCCTGAAACTTGATACTTTTGGCGCTGTTTTTTCAAATTGTACCTGGCCTGGATTCTGGCCTTGTACTCATCAATTTTTCGTCTGTTGTTCAGATGGTCGTGCATGCAGCTGCAGAGCGGTTGATGAACAGCTTGCACAACATTGATCTGTGGGTGAGTTTAACTTTTGCTTATACTTTGACAGTTAAATTGGTCGAATAAGACGCAGAAAAACTTTTCAGATTGTTACATTTCAACTACGTTTTTATTACATTTATTAGTTTGTTCATTTTCAAATGAAAGAAGGGAATGCATGTTGGAATTGCTTAGTGCAGTGACGTCATTATTTGAGATGTAATATTGAATTTTACTCGGTTCGAGCGATTTTCTTTCATATTGCGTGGTTGCCAGCTAAAGATTTATTTTTAGGGAACGAAATATAATAATAAACTGAAATATACCATGTTAATAACATCAACAGGTAATATAAAAATAACGACGATTATTGCGGCACTGCCAAAAAGTTTGGGACAGACTATACAATTTTTTCTTCATTTTCTTCGTCCAAACAACCCTTATTAAAATGACGCCAATTTTGAACCATCGAGTGTACATTTATAAAACTTTAGCGTGCTTACTTGGTTACCACTAGGGGTAGTTTTGGCGCCCCCCATTATAAGGGTGGCGTATTCCTGTCTGATTTTTCGATTGCACTCCTCGCATGGACATTTCGATTGCATGAATCTATCCAGTTCGCTTTTGCACTTGCAGGATTTTATACTGTCGCTATTCGAGAAAGATCCTGCTGTGGAAGGTTTTGTCGAACTTTCACTGCTTGTGGTTTCTGTTGATTCAGTTGAGTTTCTGGAAGGGCATGGCCCGCACGATTTCCGAACACTATTCAAACAATTAAAATGAATATCGGCTTTGTCATATGAAAAGGGCGCAAAACTCGGAAATGAAAAGAGCTCAAGTCCGACTGTCTCTAAGTGATGATACTAAGTCTGAGCATTCAATGCTTATTAACGGCTATATTATTGAAGTGTTTAATTTTTTTTAAATAGTTTTTCCTTAAAACGGGGTAATTTTTATTACATTATTGAAGTGTTAAATTTTTTTTAACAGAGTAATTTTTATAAAAAATGATTCGTTCTAAGTGATGAGCAAAGTTAGTTTATTAGTTGCTTAATAATACCGAGCAAGTCAACGTTTTTTAGAAGGAATGCTGTGCAAGAAGCATTGGCATTTTAAACAAAGTTCTTACGGAAGGTCAAACCGAACATTCTAAGTACCCTAGAACTGTCCCAAAACATCAGTTCTGACCATAATCTAGTCTGATGATACTAAATCCCTTGAAATAGATAATTGACAAAAATAATGTGAAAATGTTGCTTTAAACAATGAATTGGAACATGATAACTATAGCAGCACAAAAAATGCTTCAAGTGATATAATTGAACAAAAAAGTCAAAACGACTAGATAATGAGATAACTGAAAGTGAATACACTTTAGATGGATACACTTTAGATTATCCAAGTGATGTAACAGATGAGAGAGATGAAAATGATGGAGATGACAATTGTAAGGGAGAAGAGAGTTTCGGACACGATAGACACAAATAAAAATTTAAATGCAGAAAAAAAACGACTAAGTAAAAGTGACGACTGGGAATATAATAGAGAAAAAGGAGGGGTATTCGGGCAAAAACGCAATAGATTGACCGTTCGAAACTGCAGAAGGGGACTAAAAATAATCGTAGGTTATGATTTAAAGAAAACAATTCTCGATTTGAGTGCTAAAAAATTGGAAAGGAAGAATAACAATGCATTTTCCAAGAATTGTAAAATTTGTCTTGGAAAGAAAAACAGACATAAGTTTTAGGAAGCAAAGATGACATAATAAGCCCACACCAGCAGGTTTTTTAATGCAAAAAAGGAAGAGAGAGTAAGAGTTTGTATAACAATGTTGTGCACAACTCTAAGAATGTCTTCAAGGACTTTTACTGTTTGGATTCAAATGCAAACTAATCTTAATGTAACGGAAAGAAATGAAGTCGGAAGTAGAAGAACTTAAAGAATTTAGCATTCAAATAAAAAGCTTGGAGAAGAAATCATTCATCGCAGACTCGATTGAAAGAGAATTGAAAATTGAAATTGAAAAATTGAAATAAACATTCATGGTAAAGTTTTAGACGTGCCAGCAGATTATGTTTTTTTATAGAAAACTGCGAGAATAATAACCAAAATGCTACGAAGTTCAACAGCTACAGCATAGTTATTTTAAAGCAATCCCAAACTTGACTTTGTTGGTTATTCAGAATATGAGAGCCCTAAAATATAAATTTATAAATCTGAATGTTCAGTTGAAGTTAAAGCGGAACATTCTGAAGAATTTAAAACCGTACCTATAAGATTAAGCAAAAGTTTAAATATTATTAAAAAAAATAAGATTTTGTCCAGAATGAGCGACGATATAACGAGTCTAATTTTCCTAAATCCATTTTTTTTTGGTTTTGGTGACATTCACGATGTAGTCAATTTTGAAAAATATCATAACAGAATGAAACATTGCGCATATGCAAAAAGTGACTCAAAATAAGGACGACTTACTTGGTCTTCACATGGCAACAGACATCCAAATTTGCATCGGCGTCATTGACTTCCAAAGAACAGTCACCAGAACACGATTGAGACGATTCGTCTTTACAATTTTCCGAACAACTGTCTTCCGAACTAGAAATTGACTGAGTTTCATATTTCTGAGAGTTGTACTCTAAATAATCCAAGCAGTGTTGCAAGCATTTGGATTTTACGATCTCACAGCTACAAGCAGCGGATAATTGCTCAGTTTTTCTGGGTACATCAGGCACTCCGGAAAAGTAGAAAACTGGACCTAGTTTTCCTTGGACCAAGCCATTGTTTATTAGGATGACTGGATGAGCGCGAACCTTGTTTTGTACTATTAGAACCTCCAATTTTTTCCGATAGCTGCAAGAGGGGTTGGTTCCTAAATTTGCAGATGCAGCTTCTGAGTTGGCAATCACCTTAAAATGCATCTGCAAGGTTTTCGGGCTACAACTGTGCTCACGCAGAAAATGGGTCCCAGTTTGGTCATGGTGACTCCGCCCACCACCAATTTGGTGTCGTTTTGCATCAAAGATTCTTTGTATTGGTTTATGAGGGCTTTGCGCTTCAGAATCTCTTCACAAAGACATATTTTGCCGCCTCTAGTTCCAACTATTTGATAGATTGGCCCCAACTTGGTCATAAACACACCTGGAACCCCAGTGCCAAACAAACAGAGCAAAATTTCCACTAAACCTTACCGCCTAAGAGAAGTTTTGCGTCTTGGTCTATCAGGCGTTGTCGGGCTGCGCTCGCTACAACCCTGTTTCGGTACTCCCTGTAGCAATCGCAGACTTTACTGCTCACGGAACCCTGTATAATGGGAATGGGGGCTTCACAGTGGCAGGGGGTGTTTTTAAATCCTCCATGGATTCGAATCAGGACCTTCTGGTGCAGTTGCTCTAAACAGTCGTCGCAAAAACACTGCGTATCTAGAAACTCTTGAGCTCGCTTCTCGCAAACGCTTCGCTTAAACTAGTACAACATCTGGAGTTATTTGAGACTATAAATGTCTGTATAAAAGTTATTAAGCCACGATATTTTGGCGTTTTTGGTTAGCGCATATAAATATTTAAGTCCTTTGCAAGGACCTTTCAATGGAAAGTTCTATCACCTATGTGTTCCATTCTGCTGGAAACAAAATGTTTTTTTCCTGTTGCATTGTGGACACATTTTGGCCACCTTCAAACTCTGCAGGATAGAGATTGCGCTGCGGATGTCTGTTGGGACAAAATTGAGGCAACAGTTTATGGTGCAACCGCACAAGTGTTCGGATGGAGGAAAAGTCGAACAAAACAATGCTTTAATGGGATAACTGATGAAACAGTGAAGAAGGCAAAGGTAGAACTGCGTAGATGATGAACGGAAAAAGAGAAACAAACCCGTGCCTTAGATGGGAAACAAAGATGTTTGTGAATAGTAAAATAGCTAATATCTTGCTTGAACAGACGAAATCTACAAAGTGGTCTAAGCTATGAAAGGAAGGACATTTATCAAGCTGTTCCGCAAGAGAGGCCATTATTCTTATTAGACTTTCCTTCTTCTATTCTATATTCTTTTCGGGACATCAATATCTCGAAAGGAGCCCATCAACAAAATTCAGCTTTATGCTCATTGAAAAAGTAAAATTTTAAACAACAATTTTTTTTACCGTTTTTTGTTTGGCTTATTGAGTTATGAATTGTAGCGTGTTACAAATGGACGTCAATAAAGAGAAAATTCGGTACATTTTACAGTTTTTCTGTGATAAAAACGAAAATACGAAACATCTTTCATCTTGAAAGCTTTGGCCAAACAGAATTAAATTGAAAATTATTTTAAACGGAGGGTGACTGGGGATGGAAAATGATGAGAAAAAAGTGGATGAGGAGACCAAGGCTAATGGAGGGGACGGTTTTGTTGTGCATTTCATGGGACTGGAAGGAATAATTTATTATAAGTTGCTTCTATATGGTCAAACACTAAATTCGGAACTCTAGTGTCAACGATATTAACGATAGATATTAACTAGAAGTGTCCAGAATTGGCCAACAGGAGAAGTATCTCATCAGAAACTCTTGAAGTTCGGACCTGACACCAAGAGACTGCCATATATTTATTGTATAGACAAACTTCCTTGGTAGTTAGAAATTTACATCAAGAGAAGATTGTGAACATTTCGATGAAATTAAGGATTCTTCAAATGAAAAATGAAACACTAGAAGCCTTAGATGGCGTTAAAAATCAGACCTGATTAGTTTGCCTGACAAAACATCAATCAGATGAAGTTGACTGGGCTAAAAGTTTAACATCGCCTTTAGAAAACAGCGCTCTTCTCACACTTACAACTTTCACGTTGGAAAATACTGTTTCCAGCCGTTCCTGATGTTTGAAAAGTCTTAATTCAAAAATTCTAAATTTCTTGCTAAAGCACTTAATCAATGTAGACCAGCGTATCAAAATAGCGCTTACCTACATCTTGAGACTAGCGGTCTGACCTACCACTTGTCCCGATTTACACTAACATTTTTAACCACCATAAGTACAGTTTTTTGAAAATGTACCTCGATGTTCCTTACCGTTTTCCCCAAATTATCTTCGGTTGTTTGCAAACTGTCGTCGCAAAAACAGATCAATTCCTCCGAAGAAGACACTTTGCACAACTTAGGAGCAATTAGTTTCTGATTGACGATCACCTTCTGACTAGAATGAAGAAAATTGGGGCACATCCTTAATATTTTTGCTGGAATGAGATATAGCATCTCTTGCTTCACTCCTGCAAGACTTTGGTAGAACTCTTGAGCGGCTCTGTACTCTTTCATGTACTCTTGCATTTCGTCGTCGCTGCTCCAGGAACCAGCCGGAGGGCCATAAGCATTGATTCTACAATTTAGCGCTCAATGAGCTGAAGCTTCAATCTGAAGCTAGTTACTTTTTCTGCTGCTCCAGCGCTGACTTGTAGGCAAAGTAGCAACTCTGCGGGTACTGTCGATGTTTGTTCTTGTAAACCCCACTGAACCGAGGAGGCGGAGGTTGATAGGTTAGAGATTGTAAATAGGGTGAAATTTGGGTCTTTTTCGCAAGTTTCTTTTTCAATACGGGAGGCTGCCCGGGCAGGTTTGGAGGAGAAGGAATTCGGACGTGTAGCTCCTTCAATGTGGACATTAAACTCAAATGTACTACCGCAGACAGCACCAAGCGGTCGTTGAGAGAGTAGCTGGTTCGTGCAGGGTTCATCAGCTGGTATAAAACCAGCAGAAACTCGACAGGATCTCCGCAGCTGTGCAGCAAAGCTTTTCTCACATGATACTGATTGGGTCTGAGAACCAGGCCTAGTTCTGCCAGGAGTTCTTCGCAGTACATTGTGCCTCCTTTACTAAAACCCATCAAAGTTGTGAGTGAAAAGAGGACAGCAGGTGTTGCACTCTAGCCAGAGTACCTACCTAAAATCGAACCAAACAGCATGGGGCAGTTCATCGACAGCTTGTAGCTGTTTGGGGTTCAACTCGATGAACCAGTCAGGGCCGACCATTTCCTGTACGATACAGTGGACGTTCCTGTGCTTAAGAGCTCTCTGGACTTTGATTTGTTTGCTGGTTATTTTTTGCTCGCTTTTCAGCTTGACTTGAGCTCCTTCCACGTGGAGTCTCCACAGCTCGTCGATAAATTTCCATTGGGGTGGACCCCCACTGAACAGTTTCGTCTGCCAATAGTTTGAAAGGTTGGAAGTTTGTTAAAGTAATGTGTGGTTTTTGTACCCCACACTACTTTGCACTGTGAATAGACAATTTCTCGATATTTTAGTTGAGGTTTAGGGGTTGTTCTTGATGGTTTTTAACTCGAAGATTGTGGTTAAAGCTCAGTACTAAATACGAAGTTGAATTAGAGCGAAAGTGTTTGTTAAGGATGGCGAATGCAAAGTTTAGGGCCATGTTTTCTGATGAGCGTCTGATGAGGTTTTACAATTTGTTGAATAGGCGGTCCCAAGCTTTTTGGCAGTGGCGCCATAATTTTCGTTCCTTTTCTATTACTTGTTCATCGAGCGAGACGGAAATTGTAGTTTATTAACGTATGTCTTTCATCAAATTGTTACAATTTGCAATATTAAAATTATAGATTTCATTTCCTGGCGAGTGTTGGCAGTTTTGGACAAATTATGTTTTTGTGTTCTTACATGTTCTTGTATTAGAAGTGGTCGCCTTGAAAAAAGGTATTTTGTGGTTTACGTTTTTAAGGTTTTTGTGTCTACCTTACCGCTAGCTTTTCGAAAGATTGCAAAGGATTTTGTTTTAGAAATGTTTTTTCTTCAAGCGAATATTTCGCAGATATTGAAAGGGCGTTTTCGAAAGTGCTCGGATCCGTTGAAAATATTCAAGCAGATTTTAAGTCTTTCTGATAGCTCTTCTCAAGAACTGTTCACTAATTCGGGTTCACCAAATAATTAATGGTGGCAAAAAGAAAAACATTTCTCTGGGTTTCTCGATGACAACTTGGATTAAGGACTTCACATAAAAATAGAAGACTTTTGCATCCATTATTTGGATGTGAACGAATCACGCACACTGAAGATTGCCAATCACAATTTTTCACATCACATTATCGAGAATTGAAGAAGTCAAAGAAGCAAAAAAAAAGGTTTTTTCATAAATACCTACCCTCTAAAGAAATAGAAGCAAAAGTAAAAATGTAAAGATTTCAGGGTTATTAGGTACCAATTTTCTTCTCTTCAGAACTCAGGCGAAATGTCTAACAGTTAGATAAACCCATGTTTAATAAATTATCAAACATTTTCACTAATACCTCCGGAACGGTTAAAAGCGTCTCGAGGAAACGTTTAGAATCTTCTTAGTTAATTGCCCGGAATTGAATTGTAATCAACAGCTTAATTCGTTTGTTAGTCTCTTCACCTGCTTGTTTAAAACAGAATCTTAATTTTATTTTAGTTATTTTTCCGGGGGATTTTGCGGGTGGGTTTTTGCCTTTAGTTGATTGGGTAGGACAAATGGGTTGATGTGTAGGGTCTGGATTTTTGAGCAAGTGATTAAATCAATTGGATTTATTGCAAATAATGAATTAATGCAGATTATTGGCTGGAAAGGGTTACGATGTGAAATCCCTCCCTAAGGTAATTTTAGTTGGCTTGTATTTAGCTTCCAAATTCAAAGTTTGTGATAGAGAACAAATGTACCTACCTTTTTCGGGCGCTTGGGTTTACATATTTCGGGCGGGATGTCCTTGTAGTTGGCCACCGTTTGCTTGATGTTAACTTTCAGATCACCTTTCTGCATTTTGGTCCAGGTTTCCGAAATGGAGTAATCCACGCATTGTTTCGTTGGTCGGAAAGACGTGAAAACATCTGCCTTGCTCTTGGTTGACGTGGGCAAAATTTTCCCCACTGAGTACCAAGGACTTGCGTCCTCAAGCAGATCTTTTTCCGGAGGAAGCTTCCGATTCACTGATCTGATTTTTGTCGACATTGCCAGGAAAAACTGCTGAATTTCAGTTTGGAATTGTTAACCGAAATTTTGACAATTTACTTTTGAAGTTGATCGTTATGAACCAGTGCCTTTGTTGAACACGTTGTGGTTTGAATGGTTTCATTTTTTCATCGGCAATTCGACCATAACAAGGTTGGTAATCAATGCGACAATAGCATCTTTTTACCGCCGTCAAGCCAATTTTTTAGTCTCTAACTCGGGCCTAAAACGAGGTAGATACAGATCGATGAACTGCTCAATGCCGATTCGTTCGGTCTAGAATGCAAAAAAGCAAAAATCGCCAGCTGCAGGCCTATCTAGTTCTAATAGTGCCAGTCGTTGGGAGTATCGTCCTTTGAGGTGTCCTTGACCGTTGCGTCGCTCTGCCAATGCCCACAGGAAAATGCGATTCGCAATAATAACTTCGGCTAAATTTACGAAACTTTCAGGCAGAAAGGCAGGCAAAAGTCTTAGTCTGCACAATTTCTGCATATTTAACTAATAAAGTGTAAATGACACTTGCTGCTTTGCTGCAAATGGAGTATTTGGTCATTATAAACCCGCGAGGATAAATTCAGTATAAATCACTACGCTGGCAGGAAATTCTCACTTCTTCACTTCTCACGAAAGGTGTTAAGATTTGGACATTAAAAACGTATTCACCATTTAAGCAGACTTTTTTCAAAACAATACACAATGTGTTTAAGAGTGTGAGAGGCAAGGAAGGTTCTCTTTAGCCAAGCATAAAAAATGGTTATATGAAGGAGTTTGCAACTGCTTCGTTTTCGAAATACGAGTTACATTTTTTTAATGAGCTGGCCGATTCGAGTAAAATGTTTTTTTTATTGAAACGGTTTATTAAAGTTACAATACAAATCACTTTAAAACGTTATCAAAATTGTGTTTTAAAAGTTCAAAAATTTCGACTGCTTTCAGAAATACATATTTTTTAAACCGACATTTAATCAAATTTTTTTTTTTTTGAGCTTTTCTGAAGATATTTTTAAATAATCACCACATTATTAGGGCACGTTTTTACTTTAACAGTTATTTTTGCGTTCCTCTAACTCATTTTTCAAATATTAGCCGTTTCTTCACAATATCATATTATTAAAAACTGTAAGTACGATCCTAAATGAAAATTTTGTGTTGAAAATGCAGAGTGATTCAGGTTTAATCTTGCTAACTTCGGGCATCAATAGAATTGGTTAGAATAATGTCCCGACATGATATAAAATTGTTCCCTAAATCGCGTCTTTTCAGAGAGATTGTTAAAAAAAATAGTTTTTCTTCAAAAGTTTTCAACCTTTCATCTGATTCCGAGTGAAATTCAGCGCACAAATACTACTGGTTAAGTTTTAACCACTCCAACCTGTTTGGAAGTGTATTTTATGGGCAATCCCCCAACTGATTTTGTTTCAAAACTTGACCAAAAAAAGTAATTTCAAGAAAATCCCGTTCAAATAACAGGTGCGATTAATCCACTTGTTCCTCGATGATAAAAATGCATTGAGGCTGGAGGTTTTGAGCAATTATTGTAATTGTTGTATTAGTTAGTTAAAGTTGCGTACTTAAGTAGTTGTGACTAAATTATTGGTTGATTTTTTTATATTTTTTTTATTTCCTCGATTTTTTGGGTCAATTTACCAAATAATCTTTCAATTGACGAAAGAGTTTCACTACTCATTCTTAATGGCTCCAGATTCTCTATTACGCACTCCACAGAATGTAAGCAAAGAATCATATTAAATTTGTCATTAATTCATCCTCATTATGAGTTGTGACTTAGAACACCTTGGGTGTTTTCTTCAAGTTATGTTATTAATTAAACTTTTCTTAAATAAGAATAATTTAAAATCAGGGTTGTACTTGTAGTTTTTGATAACAAAATGACAAATATAACATTGCGAAGAAATGGCTAATATTTGAAAAAATATATTTTACAATCACATTACTTGAATCCGCAGTGTTAATTTAAGATGATAATGGTGGCCCGAAATCGAAACCTTGAATTCCAGACCTGCTCATATAATCTTGCAGAAAAGTAGAAGCTCTTTTAGGGAATTATGTGTTTTGACAATGTGACTATTATTTTCAAATATATCTCAAAATAAGCTACAAAGAATTGTGTGTTGTGAGTAGCTAATGATTGTTTTTTCCATTCCAGAAACGGGGCAAACAGCCATTAGAGGCCCATATTTAACTGTAAGTAGTAAATATGAACGTTTTCGTACTTTCCTGGAGAAAATTGACCCCCCGATTTATGACATTTTTATTCCGAAACACTCCGCACACTCAAACTTTCATAACTAATCACACGTTTTTAATCGAAATTCTTTGCATATTGATGCAACCATCGAAGAAATAATTTCAAAACCAACACAGATAAATTTGTTCTATTAGTAAATACCAATTTCAGCCAAACAAATGGCAAAATAGTCCTATTTATTTACAGATATGTCTTGGTAATTTTTACCCAGTAACACAAAGAGCGTGACATTGAGCAAACAAGCTTGAATGATTGCTCTATTGGTGATAACCGATTAAATGTTTGACATTCTTCGGTCGTTGTCTTCTGTTGTATTTCGAATCGCTTTTATGGTGTCAACAGTTGAAGCGATAACCGGCTGTGAAATGTCCATAAATTTTGATAAAAACAGTCGAGTTTTATAACAGATAATTTTTAACGTCGTTTTTTGAGTTGTACAACCGAAACTATAGAGTTTTATAATTTGTTGCCTGTAAACTTATTCTTTGGGGTAAAAACGTAGTTTGCGCAAAATTGAGACATTTACATACAATTTTATGGGGCAACTTTTGCACCTCTATATTAACAGCTCAACCTCTACACGCTTTCTATAAAAATCTATATGCTAATTCTTAGCTAAGACCCTTAGAGGTACTACCGTAAAGTGGCAGAAAATAACTATTTATTCAGAATATGGAAACAGAAAACAAACCCGCCATTCACACTATAAAAGAGTCTTTATTGAGCGAATTTTATAAAAATTATGCCTTGAGGCTTTTAAATAAAGTAATATAGTTTCGTATCTGGGCAGACAAATGTGTAGTTGTTGCAGATTATATTTCGAAAATTGTACCAAATTCGCCTAGTTCGTAAGTCCATGGTTATGATAACTTGTATAATTAGAAACTTATTAGGTTGCACTTGAACTCCGTATCATAACTAATATTATGATTTTTGTAATCGATGTATGATTGATGTTTGCATTAAATTAAACAATTACTAAATTAATTATTCAATGATTTTTGGGTCACAGTAGATACGTAGACTGTATTATTAATCAATTTATCCTCTGATTATCGAGGAAAATTTCGCTTTGTAAAGTAAATACGATGATATTAGGAACTTAAACATTTTTGTGTAACATAATTCAAACCTCCATTGAAGCCCTTGTTCCCGGTTGCAGTCTTCCACACTGTCTTTCACTTTATCAAACGCTGGGTGAATTCTTCGCGAGAATTAGTCTTTGCAATTAACGTTTCTTATTGATTAATGGTTATCACATGTGCCCACTTAAAAAAGTCCAACGGGTTGAGGTCTGGAGATTACGGTGGCTAAGCAATAGCATCACCAACACCTATTCATTGATTTGGATAATTTTTATTGGAAAAATTAGTGCCATTTTTTCCAAAATGGGCCAAAACGCCATTATGTAAAAAGAATGTCCTTGATATGAAGAGAGCTGTCCTCAAGTAGTAGAAGCAAAGCCTTTTCCAAAAAACGCTCCCGTTAGTAAAATCTGGTCTAATAACTTAATTACTTCCAACTCCAAACAACTACGGAGGATCTTCTCTGAAAATGAGGTGCTCGAATAGCAAAAGGGTTTTTGACCACATTTGATCTTTGTGGAAAAGGTTGATTTCACTTCTTGTAAATTTAGCTTTGCCCCAGTAAAGAGTTCTTAAAAGGCTACCCATACGTTCGCAAGACGAATTCAAGCACCATTCGCAAAGATCAACATTTAGGAAAGATGCCAAGGGGGCGTTCTTGTTTTGCCAGTTATGATAGGGTTTTGACAGACATCGCTTTTTTAATCTCTTGTATCAATGTTATTGGCGATCTTCCCCATTTTAGTTTTTGTTGAACGTGGCTATTCCATTATCTTCTTCTTCTGCACTCTTTCTTCCTCCATACGTCTTACAGATCCGTCTCATATTAATTGCTGGTTTTCAATGTCTTCTGCAAATGTTCCTGTTACGTCTATTTGTTTTCTTATGTCCTCATTTTTCAAGTGTTCTAATATAGCTTTTCACGCCTTCTCCAAAACTCGTCTTCTCCACAAATCCATTCCAACGGCCAGAGGAGTGTCTTGAGGTCTTTGCGTTAATTGTGACCCTTCTGAGCCATATATTACAATATATTATATATTTTTCGGTCATAATATTGCGTTCAGTGCCCCGTTCTTACAATTGACATTTTCAACTTAATGTTAGTAGGTACATATTGAAATAATCAAAAAGCTTGACAATCAGCACATTTCCATTACAAAACATTTGGGAATAGATTCCGGTTCTTATCGTCTTGAAGGTAAACGATATCAGTTCAGGAAAATGCCTTGCTGGAGTCAAGACCCTGAAGTAAACCACACGTCGTTCACTTCCCTTTGTCAGACACGCCATAATGCAGTGCATATTTTAGGGCAATTACCTTTTGGAAAAGGGCGCCCAGACAGGGTTTATCCTGCAGATTGCGGGTCGCAGGAACGCGTTCGAGCGTTCTAACCGACGCTCGGCGTCGCAATCGGCGCCGCCGTCTCGTGACCTGACCTCCTGCAGGTGGTTGACCGGTGGGTTGTCTTCGGACATTTACCATTGTTGCGGTTGTGCAATCAGGAAAAATGTTTCCCGGTGCTAAAAATGCCCGCAATTGTGTAACTTTAGGCAAGTGCTGGATTCAAACACTGTCGGCTACTTGCAAGGTTTGGCTAAATCGTTTTATTGGAGTTGTTGGGTATAAAGGGTGTCCCATGACGTGAGCTCACTATTTAATTCACGGAATCTTCAGACCAAATAGAGAAAAAAGTTTCAACGATTTTTCCTAAAAAGAATCGTTTTGATAACACAGAGGAGTAAATTGTTATAATTCAAATAATTAATACAATTTCAGTTTAAAATAGCTATAGAAAGAAATTGCTCCAAGTGGCAATTTCACCCAAGTTGAATTGTTTCAGTACAAAACCCTGTGGGTAAACATAGTGCAGGCGAATTGCGTGCAGTTAGAACATACTTAAATGGATAAGTAGATGCGGACCAATAGAATGGCCAGCATATTGGCCAATAAATCGGGGAGAAATGCGTGGTGTGATACCGGCATCAGAAATATTTCCGTAGCGAAGACATTAAAATGGGTCGATTTTTTGTCGCTTGGGATATTCTAGGGCTATAAATGGAGGTTATTTCTAGCATTTGATAAAATTGTTTCGTTACATTTTTGTTCGTATTTGATTTAAGATTACGATCAGTAATGAAGGAGCAATTTCTCGTATAGCCCGAATATGCAATCATATGCAGGGTTTTGTATTAAAAATGTTCAACTTGAGTGAAAAAACTTTTATTTAAGTCACCCTGTATACTTTCAGTTGACATCAAAACTTGCCCATCAAGAAATAAAAATTCACGAATACGAACGATTTTTCGAAAAACATTTGCCTTATGTTTTATCAAATGTATTCCTTACTCAATCACAACCCTGCATACAGGGTGATTCAAAATTGGAGTCATTTTTCTCGAGGTCTTTTGTCAGGCGGTGTTCTAGGAGTACAGAAAAATATTTAAAAAAAAATTGTTATTAAAAATTGAGAAATTTGCAAAAAACTGTATCAGAAAGACGGCAACAATGTTTTTCAAGGTAATCTGCCTAATTAACATTACGCGCTAACTGAATACCTCTTGCTTCGTAATTATTAAAAACTCCGCTAACCATGGAATTATACAGAAACTGACTATAAAATGGACAAGGGTAAACGGTAAATTCAACAAGATTCGTTGACTGTGGAACGTACTTCACAGAACACCTCTGAACTCGTCCCATTGAGTTGTCATGGGGGTGACGTAATTTTTTAGAAATGTCAATTATTCTCCTCATAACCTCGAATTGATGTTTACAAATAAGCATACATTTGAGTCATTAACTCCAAACAAGCCAGTACTTGTGTAATCTCCTGATTAGCCACTCTTATCGAGCAGCTTCTCGTATTCGGTTAATTAACTCCTGTGCAATTTGTACCGGTGTTCAGTAATCCATTGGTTTAATGTGTCCTTGTGCTGTCTGTATCTTACATTACATTACATACGTCTGTATGTGGTAGGAATGTATCCTTTCCTCGCTATTTATTTGGTGCCTAGGAAAGTGTCAGTTGTTATGCCATACTTGGTTTTGCTGTAATTATGTCCAATACTTGTTCCTCTGTCTCTGGCACCCGAACATTTATTGTCGTCCACTATCTGCCTGGAGTCAATTTCCAGTATCTCTATCCCTTTGTTGGCGTGAGTTTTTACAGCTTCTGCTATGTTTCTGTGGCATTTACCCAGAACTAAGCGCATATCCGCAAGTTCGTGAAAAGAGCTTCATAGTAAGTCGCAGTTTGACAATTTATGGTTATTAATGACAGAGGCTATCCTACTACCTGTAACTATCTGTTAATGACAAAAAACATCATTGCCGCTTTGACTTTTCATCCACAACTTGTGGAAAAGAACTTTTTTAATATGAAAAATTTTCTTAATTTTTCTTTTTGAATGCTTAAGTTTAATTTCTTTTTTAATTTTAATTTTCTTTTTGAATGCTTTGAGCTTTAATGCTTCCAATATGTTACCAATTAAACATGGAACAATTACAAAATAAAGCATTAATAACAAAGTTGAAATTCGATTTTCCACTGTTAATATCTTTAAAAATATTTCAATATTTTTTTCGCACTCTATAAATGAGCCCCTATTACACCGTAAAGGGAATGACGCCAATTTTGATTCACCCTGTATAGCACTATTTTATTCCAAGTTATATCGGCTGCCTCAAAATGTTTTTTAACATTCTCATCAGCATTTGATGACTAGTGGATTTGGATGGAATTGTGTTCAGAAAAGGCGAATTTTTAAGGCAATAAATTACTTTTTCGATAATATTTCTGCAAGACAATTCTAGACACACTGTATAAAAGGTGTTTGAACAGTGTGTAAATCAATTACTGATGTTTTAACCGAACAGTCTAGTGTATTTTGTTCAAAATGCCACCTTTAAAAATCTTTTAACGCTTTTCTAATGAAGACCCTTCAAAACAAACTGCTGGTAGGTGCTTAAAAGAGACCACTATTGATAAATTAGCGGATCCTAAATGGAGAAAGCTTCCAATATAATTTCGTTTCTTCACTCGGCAATAATTGTGCCTGAAATTTATGTTTGCCTCGAACAAACCAAACAAAGTAGTACCACAATCACGGTGTGCTCGTAAATCGGTGTTCAATAGCCGTTCAAGTTCACCCCGAACTGCCTCGACCTTGTCGGTACAAATTTGAGGTCGTACATTAAAAAAAACACACATGTGAGCGAATTTCCTGTATAGTGACGTGGCTCCATTCGAAAATAACCCACAACTGGGTATCAAAACATGGTTTTTTTTCACTGAAATTGACTGTCGCGTATTGTCCAGTTAATACTTTTCAACTAACCTCTTCTGAGCTGTACAAAGTCCATACTTTCAATAGTTACCTACTTTGATTGAAAGTTAATATGTTCAGAAAAAATACAAGTTGTAGGTAATGAAGAAATAAAGATAAAAATAGATGAAAACATC